AAGAAAAGAAGATATATATGATCTGGTGTATACCAGAGATCATAACAGTTATCTTTGCAACTGATGATGGGTTAGCAAACCCGAAAGCTATTGTTTTCCTTATTTTATATGAACAATTAATTCAACCACATGACAATTTTCATTATTTTTGTCAAATTAATTATCAAAATCCTATATTTATTCTTATTTCGTGTAGGATGGATATGTATCTCCTCTGAACTAACCCACATCCTATCGAGAAAACATTAACAAATAATTTGAATATTAACTCTCTCTCGCATACACATTTCAATGATGCTTAGAATCAGATCTATTATAAATAAGAAAAATTATTTAAATGAAGACACGTTTGTAAAGATAATAGTTTGTAGCTTTATAATTAAAATCATTATTTCAAATAGTAAGTTTTTACTTTAATAAATTAACACACAAGAATACAGCGATGAAAATTCTTTTTTTTTGATAAGAAAAGAAAGTTGTCTGATATATCACAATTCAAAAACATTAGTATTATTAGAAAATAATGCAGTTTTTTAAATTAACTTTTATTTAAATGAGACTGCATACACAAAATAATAAAATAGTTGATAATTATTAAATTATTTTAGAAGTTCGAATAACCAATTGACAATTTATAAAATATATATCAAAATAATATTGTGTTTCCTGCCTTATGATCCATCCAGTATGTATTGTCTAACAAATGAAAACAAGGGGGTAATAGCTGGCACCCCTTGAATGAAAATTATTTTATATGTAAATCAGAGATTTTCAAATATTTTTCTATTAGTTTTTACAAAATAGAAATAAAATAACGAACTCATTATTATTATTTTTAACTGAAAAGAAAAAAGCCAAATAAATATTTTGTCAATTAAAATAATTTATTTCATTTTATTGTTCAATTAACAATTATAATATATTGACATATGTATTTATCTATTATTTCTTACGCATTTTGTAAATAAAATTTCTATTAAATTATTATTTGCTTATCTATATTTAAAATTAAATGTAACATTCGATTAGAAAATATTTGACAACGTCAACTAATGTTACTAATTGTTAGAATCAGAAAAAAAGGAACATTTCTAATATATATAGAAAAGAAAACATGAGAAAGATGAGAAAAAAAGTAGGGTGAGGGTGTGGCTGCGAATGTTTCTTTATTCTCTTGGAGTCACACCTACACCGGCCCTCAAGATGATGAAATTGAAACATAATTCAGCTGAAATAGGTTGTAACTGTTTAATTTAAATGTCAATTGACCCCTATGATTCGAATTTAGTATTGAAGTACGATAAAACGTGTTTTGAAGAGGGAATCAATATCATTGATCACCGATCTTCTCTCTTACTTTTATATTTATTATAGAATAACTCATGAAAAGATCGATTTCTTGCTCTTTGATTGTAACTAGTGTAAACATTTATTCTTATTAAAAATAATCGTCGTATTTATTTTTCATCAATCCATCTTGAGTGTGTGGGTGTGAATACAAAATAAATATATAATACCCACACCCACACCCTCAAGATGCATGTGGTCTGAGTTGCATCAGGTAACAATATACAGCACAAAAAATTCACCGGATATGTATGAGATAATGATGTATTAGAATCAAAATTGAGTTAAAAATGAAAAACAGATAATATTTTAAAAAGCAGAAGAAAGCTGAAAAAGCAGAAAAGGTGGCGACCTTGCTCACAAAATTTTGCTGAAATTATCGATATAGAGTGACGATAAATGTTAGTCTGTATCGTGTAATGTTTTATAAGAGTAATATACTTAGTAGAGTAGTAAAGTGTTAATGAATAAATAAAGATTAGTCATCGATATCCCTTAACAATGCAAGAGAACGCCGACGTTGTTCGAATTAGAGTTTGCAACAATAATATCGAGTTTATTGTCGCTATTCACATCGACAACTGCTACTGAGTATGGCTTGTTACCTACTGCGTAAGTAGTTTGAGCATTAAAGGTGCCGCTGCCTGTGTTGAGAAGAACACCGACGTTTTTCGAACCCCAGTTTGCAACAACAATATCGGGTTTATTGTCGCCATTCACATCGACGACTGCCATTGAAACTGAACCACTGCCAACTGCGTAAGTAGTTTGCGCATTAAAGGTGTCGCTCCTTGTGTTGAGAAGGATACCGACGTTGTTTGAATTAAAGTTTGCAACAACAATATCGGGTTTATTGTCGCTATTCATATCGACGACTGCTACTGACCATGGCTGACTACCAACTGCGTAAGTAGTCTGAGCATTAAAGATGCCATTGCCTGCATTGAGAAGAACACCGACGTTGTTCGAACCCCAGTTTGCAACAACAATATCGGGTTTATAATCGCTATTTACATCGACGACTGCTACTGAGTATGGGTTGCTACCAACTGCGTAAGTAGTTTCAGCATTAAAGGTGCCGATGCCTGTGTTGAGAAGAACACCAACGTTATTCGAACCATAGTTTGCAACAACAATATCAGGTTTATTGTCGCTATTTACATCGACGACTGCTACTAGAGTTGGCTGAGCGTTAACTGGGTAAGTAGCTTGACTATTAAAGGTACCGCTACCTGAGTTGAGAAGAACGCTGACAGTATACGAACCCTGGTTTGTAACAACAATATCGGGTTTATTGTCACTATTCACATCGACGACTGCTACTGAGTATGGATTGTTACCAACTGCGTAAGTAGTTTGAGCATTAAAGGTGCCGATGCCTGTGTTGAGAAGAACACCGACGTTTTTCGAATTCCAGTTTGCAACAACAATATCGGGTTTATTGTCGCTATTCACATCAGCGACTGATACTGAATATGGATTAGTACCAACTGAGTAAGTAGTTTGATTAAGAAACATACTATTGCAGACTATTAAATACAAAATTTTTGCTGTCACATCTATACTGGCATATAGACAGTAATCAATCGTCGTAATTTACTCATTCTTTGAGAGTTTAACTTAGTTGCACATAATTTGATCGAATAGATTATGTCACTGAGTTTTGGGCAATTTCAGACATTCTAGAGCACAACTACAGTAAAGTTTAAGCCACTCTGCCCATCTCTATATGAAACCTTCTCGTGGATGTGGGTGTGGATATAGTTATCTATCCTTATTTAGTCACACCCACACCCACACCCTCGAGAGCGGTTGGGTATAAGTGATTACTAAAATGATCAATCAGTTGTTTCGCATAAAAATCTTTTTATCAACAATATTTTCATTTGATACTATTGGACAAAGCAAGAATATTCAATATTTAAATGAATGTGAATCGAATCAGATCATTGAAAATTGGCCTTATTTTGACTTCTAGTACGAAATATTCCCTAATATTGTCTATCGAAATAATGATCGTTCAATAGTTAAAATCAAAACTTTTAAGTATTGTCACTACAAATGATTTAACATAGTACTGACTCGGTATTATTGTTGATGATGTTGTTGTTGATGTCGTAGTTGATTCTATTATAGAAAAATGATTTTAGGTTGAGACTAAACAACTAGATAGTGTTTGCCTGTTAGTTTATTTCTTTTTCTTTAAGGGTGTGGGTAGCTCTCGAGGGTTGGTGTGAATCTGGATGGCTGTCTTCTCTTCAGACATACTCTCAAGATATATATTTCTTACCTTACTTGATGCAGCCTAACCCAACCCAATCCGAGTTTAGACTTCGACTTCATTTATGTCTTTTTTTGAATTAGAATAGTTTTCTATGATTATCCTTGAAAGCATCAAATCAAATTATCAGCAAATCTCTCTCATAGTCACATTATTTGAATTTTCTGAAAATTGAAATTTACCATCGTATCGATATCTTAGGTGATATAGGCCCTGTGTTCTTTGTCACCTACAGAAATATGAGGGCGATTGATTGCTGTCGTAGAAAATACGAAAAGTCAATATTTTGTTAAGAAAACACAGAAAAACAAGTAAGATCCATTTTATTAATGATATTTTAGAAGTCTTTATACACTGAATAAAGCTTTTGAAGGGATTTATATCTAAAAGTTAATTTTAGTAAAGGATATTTCGTGAAAATCGGAAAAAGCGGTTACTGATAAATATAAAAAATTTCGCTAGTGTTCTATTTATTTGTGTAGGAAGGAGTGATCTACTCGAATTATTACTGATATCGGAATTTCTTAGAGACTGACTTTTAACAAATACTCTTCTACATGATAAAAATTCTATTATGGATCTAAAAAAAAACTTTGGATATTGTTGATTAGAAGTATCATGTATAAGTTGTTATGATAAACAATGAAATTCCACTTCTGTCATTTGAAATAATTTCTCTTATATTAACTTCAAAATAAATGATTATCTCCTTTTGACTACCTGTTGTTATTTCTATTTCTTCTGTTGTTGATGGTTTTTCAGTATTTGTCTTCTTTATTGTGAAGATAACAACTATGATTGTTATAATTATAATAAGTACAATAATAATAAATGTAATCCACACAACTTTTTTTCTTTTCAAATATTCACATCTAAAATAAGAAAGCTTTTTTATCATTTGTCTACAATTCATAATATACATACAATTTTTTTGGTTGAGCGGTATTCGATGTAACTGTTTCAGACTAAAATAATCAAAACAGAAAAATATTATATTTTATGCTTTTTCTTTGTTTCAATAAATTACATCATTATCAACTCCTATTCTGTTGTTGTTGATCATTGTTGATATCTTGTTGAAAGTTTAATACTTTTACAATCTAAAATCAACAAAAAACTTTTCTATTTATTTGAATATCTTTTCATAAAGGATCATTTGTGTTTCTGTTTAATTTTTGAAATCTATATTTCCAGTAACATCCAGTATTTCTTACGGACCAATGTTAGAAGTTTTTCATTCCAATTTCAAATGGAAAATACAAAAATATTTATCATACTCTCTCTTTTTCTTTCTTAAATAATTAGTTTTTTTATGATGTATATCATTGTGTTAATATAAAGCATGATATATTAATAAAAAAAATGAGCTCACTTCCTTTTTCAATGTTAATTTTCAAAAAAAAGAACTCTTTTTGGATAGAGTTGTTATCTCTTATAAATATGAAACTGTCTGAGACAATATTTAGTGTAATTATTAGTTAATAAAACATAAAAAATCAGTGCTGTTCTAAGGATATGCAACATTTCCTTACAGAAAAAAAGTCATGCTAAAATATTCTACTATACACAAAGATTCTTCTAGAATAATTGAGAATTAGACAATATTTATAATTAGAAACGTTTTTAATGGGATTTTATGACTTCTTGTAATAATTAGTTCCAAGAATAGATAAATGATTATGATACTCATTGATTTTATTGGAGATCGAAATAAAACATTCAAGAAAACAAAAAGGATTAATGCTTAATCTTCACTTAGTTATCATCACATACTAGATATGACTCATCACTAGAGAGAACTTTAATCATCATTCTAAATACAATCATAGCCATGTACGATATGCAAATTCTTTGAATAATTATATTTAGATGTGACTGTCAGCGATTATGAATATTAATGTCGAGAAAGTGAACATAAATGAAACAGGAGTTATATCAATCATCAAACCTTGTAAAATACCATGAAATCCTCTCTTTTTTTGGAATGAATATGAGCATAATAATTTGACAGATGAATGTATTACTCTTATCCTGATATCAATTCATCCTCACACACCATCGAAATATTTTTTACTTATCTCAATCTATTACTGAATTATTTTATCGACAATAATTTTATAACTAATAATGTAGTTACAGCTTAAATCTATAGACTTTCAAACGAATGAAAAATAATAAAATACATGTTTTTTCTCTCTCAGGAAACTTTGCATTTCCTTCAAAAAGTGTTGATTTTCAACGTTTTTTTTTTAGAAATAATCATATTAACTGTTATCTGAATAAATTTACTTTCGCATACTACCTACTAGATTTCGATATTTACAATTGATAACATTTTATTCAAAACGCATCTGAAACAAAATACAGTAAGCATCAGATCCATTCATTATCTTTATTTTAAAGCAAACAAATACATAAGAATAAAATGAAAAGAACTTTATTTGATTTCTAATAATTTATAATATTGAGAAAATGATCTTCTCATTTGTTATTGATATTTGTCTTCTATTGAATGAAATAAAAACATGTTGTTTCTTTTTAGTTACACTCATCAATAATTAACTTGAATGATAAAAAAAACTCTTGTATATATTACTGGAAACTGAACACTAGAGAAACATGAACTTTCTTTTCTTTTCTCTATTCGCCTACTTAATGACGTCAATGGGAATTTGCTTTTTTCTTGAAATATTTGCAACAAATACAACATTTGAATTTATTTCCTTCTTCAAAACTAATATGTAATGTCAGGGATTATTTGTTGTAAATATAAAAAAATGTTCATGATATTGAAATGTTTGTAGGAAGGATGTAAAAACAAAATTTTATTTTATTCTTGTTAAGGATACATCGCAAATCATACCTTAACGAAGGAAATACAACGCTTCCTCAACAATAAAATAAAAGTTTTTTGTTATTTTGTATTGAGTTGAAAGAGAAAATAAATCGACAATGTCTGTTATCAAAATTGTATTGCACAATTGATTTTATTCTTTTGTTTCACAGATTTGATAAATCATAAGAAAAGTGTAATTGTTGATTTTTAGAATGAATCTATATCAAATATTATTCAGCAAAATGAATATCATCGGAATACATCAAATCTATGCGAAATAAATACATAAACAAAAGAATTAGAATTCAACAAAATCAATTGAATGCATAATTTTATCGACCTTTGAAATGGTTCATCATGATGAATAATTATGAACAAATTAACATAGTTCTAAATAAAAATAGTATATCAATCATTCTTTTTGTTCTATATTAGCATGCAGAAGAGAACGAAGAAGTAAACATCATTTTGAGACTGTCGGATATATATGAGATTGACATTGTGACATATTTTATACTTTCTTAAAAACAACGACATTTCGTATCGCTCGATAAGACTACAACCGATAAAATTATAGTATTTTATTATAATGAAGAATTAAACTAATGAAGAAGAGTTGATTTGTTTTTATCAAATTCAAATAAATAGTTCTAAAGATTTATTTTTCTAAACAAAATTTTATTGACTAATCATTCAAAAA